ATATAGTGCAGAAAATTTTCGACAATTACTTATAAAATGGATTGTAGTTAATGACCTTCCTTTTACAAGTGTTGAATTTTCTGAATTTAAAAATATGATATCTATTTTACGAAATGGAGCTCTGGTTCCTTTAGCCAATACAGTTAAAAATAATATAATAATATCCTTTAATGAAAATAAAAAAAAATATAACAATTTTTACAGGTAATTATATTATATTTAATAAACAAAAATTTATTGAAATTATATTTATATTTATATTTTTATAGAAAATACCAAGTAAAATTTCTTTTACTATCGATGCTTGGACCTCATCAAATAATTTGCCTTTTTTGGGAATTACAGCACACTGGATTTCTGAGGATTGGAAATTAAAAAATTTGCTTTTGGATTTTATTAAACTTGAAGAACCACATTCGGATGATAATATCACTAAAGGTTTTTTAAAAAGTCTTAACAAATATAATCTTTTAAATAAAGTAAGTTATATTTTATATTTAAATAAACAAATATATTTACTTATTAAATTTTTTAAATAGATTTCTAGTATAACAACTAATAATACAAGTAACAATATAACATTTCTTAAAGCAGTTGAAAAAACATTAAAAAAATAATATTGAATTTAATACTAACAATTAACATATACAATGTCTTGTATATATTATTAATCTGGCAGTTTAAAAAATATTACAAATATTAAATATGAGAATAATATTATTCAAGATGATAATAATATATTACAAGACAATAACAATATAATTGCTAGTCTTTTATTTAAAGTAAGTTTAATATTGTTTTTATTTAAATAATTATAATTATAATTATTAATAAATTAATTTATTTTTAGCTTCGTAAACTTATTTTTAAAATTAAAGCATTATAATAACAATAAGAAAATTTTTTGTCCAATATCAAATAGCTGGAATATCTAATAAAATATTATATTGGATGTTAAAACATAATGGAATTTAACATATAATATGTTAATTAGAACTTGTAAACTAAAAAAAGTTAATTTAAATTAATTTTGATTATATATAAATAATAATATTTAAATTTTATTATTTTAACCATTAAATATATTAAGTAATATCAATCCCAATCTTTGTGATTTTATAATTAATAAAAATGAGTGGATATATTTAGAAGAAATTAAAAAATTATTAAAAGTAAATAATAATTTTAAAATATTTTATAATTATAATTTTATTATTTATTAATAAATTTAATTTAGAATTTTGCAAAAGCAATAAAACAAATATCTGGAGATACATATCCAACACTTTTATTATTTATTTTTTTTTTAATGTAAGTAAATATCATTTCTTTATTTATTTGTATATAACAAGGTATATATTATAGAAAGAAACAACATCTCTCACATATAATTGCAATAAGTTAAATGTTAGCTTGCCTACAATAATCACCTAACTTCCACTAGAAAAATGTTTTAAACTAGTTTACTAATTAAGCGATGCCGAGTAGCTGTGAATACCTACTTAGAGTTTTATGCAATAATGTTACAATAGTTAGAAATAAGATTATATATATATTTTGAATAAATGAAATTGCTCCAAATAAATGTTTCTGTAACAAGGATAGGAATATCAATTATAGTATTGTTGGCGGCTGAGGTTGGAGTATTGATACTGGGAGGTAAGCTATCTTTTTGTGTTCTTTTATTATTGGCATTATTGTTATTGTTATTATTGTTAGATAAGATATTTGAGCTATTAGTAATTTTACTGTTGTTACTGTTAATGCTATTATTATTGTTATTGCTTTTCCTTTTTTTGAGATTTTCGTTCCACTTGATACTGATAGTAGAGGCAGTGTTTGCTGTACTGTATCAGGATTTCCAGATATAGTTGTAAGAGGATGTAAGAGTTTCAGTGAATGCTCGGATCCACTTATGTATATCAAATATGAAGAAGATGCCAGTTGTAATTCTGCAAGTAAGTTCTATCACCTAATGTATATTTGATAATAGGTTGTTATTACTATTTAAATGGAAAATAAGATTGATAAAGTCTATTATTTGCTTGACTTTTTTTTTTGCTAAGGGACAGTTAAAGACATGAAGGATATTTTCAATCTGAAAACTGCACCTTGGACAATAAAGATCCTTGTAAAGTTCAGAATATAACTGGTAAAGAAATTTCTTACGTTAAGAGTATACCTGAAAGTAGTTTAACTCTGAATGTGATAAGATTACTATAAGTGGTATTGTGATATCCCTTTAAAAATTTGTTGGGGTTAATTATTTGAAGCTCAAAGACATCATAAGATTGATCAAATGTTTTAATTATGGATAAGCTCTCACAAATGATATAAGATCTAGTGATATCAAAGATTTTTTTATACCATCTTGAGCAGTTATCCAAATCTACTTTGTTAATAATGGGATTTTCTGCGAAATAGAAAATTGAATTGTTTCACAGGATTGAGTTAATATATCTTGGCTTGAATTTAGGCTTGACGAAAATGATAAATATATATTTTTATATTATGATTTGTAGAATTTTTGAAATTAGAATGGCAAAGCTAACTTTTATATACTTCCTAAGAAAAGTAGGGGGCATCTGGATAATTTTTTTATTGCTTCTAACTTCGATCATATTCAACATTTTATTAAAATAAATTGAAAAAATTTTATAATTCAATAGAGTATTTAGAAGAAAATAAAATAATTTTTTTTTAATTTTTAATTTGAATTAATTGATTTATTTATATTTATATTTATTATTATATTATAGAAAGCAGTAAAAAATGGAATTGAAAAATTAAAAAAATATTATGATAAAACAAGAGCATTGGTATATACAGTTGCTATAAGTATATTAAATATTAATTTTTTTTTATAATTAAATAAATATTTATTGTATTTATTTAATTAAAATCGATATTAGTTTTAAATTTATGACTTAAATTACAATATATGGAAGATTATGAATAGGAAGAAGAATAGATTGATAATGTAAAAACAAAAATATATAATCAATCCTATTAATTCGAAGTCATTTGTATAAGATAAAAACTTTGGTTTAATAGAATCTTCGATTTACTTATAATTTCTGTTAATCTGAATTTATTAATTAATACAAAAGAAATACTGGTTTAACAAAAATTTTTTATCAAATACTATTTTGGTTATATATTGTTAGTACAGTTATATCTTGTTTTGGTAGTTACATTCGTTAGTAGCTTATAAAAATTTTATATTAATTTTGATATTACTATAAATTCTAATAATATTGATTTTTTGAAGTAATTTATACAAAAAAATATCAAATACATTAACCTTTTAAAAATAAATAATGTTTTTTCAACCTTTTTTTAATTTATTAATTTTGATTTTTGAAAAAGAAAGTAAAATGCATTTAATGATACTAATTATATTTAACATTTTAAATATATACAAATTTTTATAAAAATATTCTTTTTCCTTTATTTAATAATCCTATAGATAAAATATTTAATTTGATTCTTAATAATGTTTTCACCTCTTTTTATCTTTGCTAATTAGTATAATGAAATTATTTTTAAAAATGACGAAAAAAAAATATAAATTGTAATACAAACTTTAAATAAATGATTTATTTTTCTTTATCTAAACTGATAAAAAAAGTATCAATATTTGTTTGCTTCTTTGCATTAATAACTAACATATATATTTCTTTTCTTAAATTTTGTAACCAAGAAATTTTCTATTATTAATCTATTATTATCCTGTTTGATAAACATAAATACAATATCTAAACTTTCCAATGCTTGATTTTTTATTACCTTTATTTTATTAACTTCTTCTTCTATTTCTTCAGGATCTTCTATACCCATAACAATTTTAACTATATCTTCATCACACATTATTTCTTCAATTGCCAATTAAGAGTCGATATTAAGATATTCATTAACAGATAAAGAATCATTAATTGAAAGCAGATTGATAAGATATTGAATCTCTTTTTCATCATTTGATTCAGACAAATCTAAAAATTCGTTACTTATAGTATTATTATATGGTGAAGGAGGCAAAATTCCAGTCTTTATCCAAGATGAGTGAATTGAACTAAATTTAACATAATCCTAGACTTGCGTGATAAAGGTAATTGCATCTATAATAATAAGAGAAGTAATAGATTTTCCACTTGCAACAAATTCATTATAAGTATTAATCTGATTTGTACAAAGTAAGCGTCTATATTGAGACTTTAAATATAATAAAATTTTTTATTATTTTTAAATTTATAATTAAAATAATTAAAACAAATAAGCTTACTTTAAATGAATATATAATTCCTGCATCACAGGGTTGCAAATAAGCAGTTGTATTTGGAGGAAGATAATAAAGAGTTATATTACTAAAGGAAATATCTTCATCGATTATATGTGGTGTTGCATTATCCATTAACAATAAAATTTTTTGTTTAGCTATTCGCATATCAAGATTTAACTTCTGTTACCAATGTAAAAAAATATTTAATTGCATCCATGCACTACTATTCCAGTAATAATATACTGATATATTTTTTTTATCTAATGTTTTCATACATTGCAGATTTTTAAACTTATAAATAAAAGTAAGAACAAGTTTTAATATTCCTGTTGCATTACAAGTAAGAAGAATCGTCACCCTATCTTTTGCTTGCTTTGTATCTTTAAGAGGATGTGCTGAAAGAGTTTTAGAAGGCTTTATCCTTCAATAAAGACCTGTCTTGTCACAATTGTATACATCATTTAGATCCCATGCCATTAAGAGATTTTGAAGATCATTATGAAATTGTGGCAAGTAATATAAAGATACACTGTTTGCTTCACCAGGCTTTGTAATATTTTGAATATTGTATTGCTTTTTAAAATGAGATAACCATCCTTGAGATCCTATAAAATTATTAATATCCATAAGTCAAGCAAAGTCTGTTGCCTTATGAAGTAAAATTTCATCAAATATTGATAAATTTGTGCCATTTGCTTGATCAAGCCATAATGCTAAGGATTGTTCAATTTGCAAAAATTTTGATATTCGTTCTCTTTTAAGACTAGCAATATAGAAGATAGAATTTTTATTAAGTAATTCATCTTTTCCTTTTAATATATCATGTACAGTCGATTTACCAATATTAAATTGACTAGCAAGTTCAACATTTTTTAAATTTGAATTGGTGATTTTTGCTTGACAGAGTTCAATTTTTTGTACAAGTGTAAGAGAATTGTGTTTTTGCTTATTATTTTTTACTGATGGTAAATTTTCATCCATTTGTTATATTATTACTATCAATTGGAATATGAATCCAATTTATTTTTTTAAAAAATTCTCAAGATTTATATATTTGAGATTTTTGCTTGTAAATGCTTATTTCTTAATGTATCTCGTAAACAAATTTGCTTGCAAATATAATAGCATATGAAACCTAACACATTAAAAAATAAATTATTATTATATAAACAATAGAATTTGTTTATTATTCTTTAAATTACAAGTTAACTATATATTAAGTTAAATTATACTTCGCCTTTAAATATATAGCCTAAATATGGTGGTATATAAAAAAATTATATAAGAAATATGCTCTCTTCCATAATTCATTTTTAAAAGCTCGGCATTTTTGGCTTCGAGCTTAGCCTTTCAGCTTCAAGCTCAAAAATTTGATGTTTTAATGAATCAACCTCGGATTACATGTTTTAGTAATAGATTATATATATTTTTATTTATTTAAAATATATAACTAAATAAAAATTTCAGAGATGGCTCGTCATCAAAAATTCCAATGAAAATTTTACAAATAATTTATTATAAAAAATTTTTGAATGATACATTGTAAAATCAGTTGATATCAATTTTTTGATTTTTTTTTCATAAATAATGTATTTTTTAAATCATTTAAATCAATTTTTTCATAAACTGGTAAATCTAAATAAAGCATCAAATCACGACCCAATGATTTGGAACTGGGAGATGGAAAATTGGAAGGTAAGGAATCGGAAGATAGAGATTTAGGCAAAAATTGATTTTTATTATTTGTTTTATTTGCTGGGAGATGGAAAATTGGAAGGTAAGGAATCGGGAGATAGAGATTTAGGCAAAAATTGATTTTTATTATTTGTTTTATTTGCTGGTATATCCTGAACTAAAGTTATATGGATATTGTTATCTCCAGTTAATTTTTTATTAATTGATTTAATCGTTGATAACATGTTAACCTGTAATAACAAAGTTGGTTCATGTTAATATATATTATATAATACTTTTTAATCTTTAATAAAATTTCTATATTTATTATAATTAATAAAAAATTAACTTGTTTGTATATTATTATCTCTATAAAAATTGACTATACATAGTAATACGAATGCATAGTATAATTATAACCTGTTTAGATAATTACATTTGTTATATAATTAAGTAGAGATTTAATAAAATAAATATAATAGATACAGTAAATAAATATGTATAAAAAAAAACTCTTTTCCGTCCATCTCAAATTTCCTTTTTAGGAAGTACTTTTTCAAAAAACCAAAAAGTCTTTTAATATAATTATTAAAACACTTTCAGAAACCAAAGAAAAGTCATCAGCACAAACAAGATATACACATTTACAAAGCTAACATATAATATCTTTATTATCTATAGAAAAAGAAAACAGATAGCTTCTTGTCCAGAAGTATAAGGAAGCAAACTTCCTGATTCACAGTTAGGTCTCAAGAAGCCAAACCCACTGCCAACCTTATAGCCAGGCCAATATCAGGTTAAATACTTTTTTAGGCACTGCAAGAACTTTCAGAAGGCCAGATTTCATCCGATAAATCAGATAACCTCGTTACTATCTTGAGAGTTGGAAGGATTCAAAGCTTCCCATCAACTGGACAGAGTCAAAAATTTCTTAACGTACAAACCAGTAGCTAAAAAACCATAAACAGCTTACCCCCATAAAAATTCAAGTGACGCGAACACATCGACACCAAATCTTTAGCAACATAAATAACAATAAGTCTGACACACGCCATACGTGATTTAGCTTGATACGTGTAGCCTGAGATCTACATTTTACATCAAACACGTGTCACACGTATTCCTATAAACAAATCAACAAGCAAACACATTTTCACAAAGTTTAGATACTTAGTAATCACAAAACAACTGTGTTTATATCAATATATAGAAATCAACAAACAACACGTTCAAAAACACAATCAAGAATAAAGTCAATTTTTAATAATGTTCAACAACATTACATCCAAATCTTCCTTAACAATAACAACACCCCTTTTTAATCAATCGAACCAACACTCACCACCAATAACAATACCATCGGATAATAACATAGAATTATCACCCATACAATATGCCCTCCTAGATATGGTCTTAATAGAAAGAGGCAAACAGCACGTGTCTATTGTCTATCAGGACCCTCAAGGCAAAATCATTACCACCAATCTCTCCAATACTTCTATTATCCTATACTTGCCAAACCATCCATCCAGATGGCTCATTCCTACCTCCAATCTTATTAGAAAATCAGAAAACCTCTCTGTTATTCAAATCGAATTTTTTCCCAGCCAAGATAAAAAAAGCCTCTCTATCCATGCAACAGTCCCTAAGGAAAAATTAATCAAACATCTTAATGAATTCATGAAATATCAAAGCATATTTCAGGTAATCTTCAAGAAAAACGAAGGTCTTAGAAGTTCTATCCTTCAAACGGTGTTAAACAAAGGATGGAACTATTTTAAATATGTTTCATGAAACTGGATAGATGTTATTAGAAGCACTACAGGAGGCAAAAGAACATATACTTTTAAAATCACTCACCAATCAAATACACCATCATTCCACTCTTTATCTTCAACCATGGTTTCGAATATGAAAATCATTTTGACAGATAATATAGTCACAAAAAAATCAAACACAGAAGCACATCAATATAAGATCAGCAAACCAATCAAAAAAATATCTCCTTCCAACCAATCAAATTCTAGCTTAATACTAGAAGACCTTTTACCATTGGAATCTTCTATAAATAAGGATCAACCCCTTACTGCTTACAAAACTTCTGCATCTGAAAACCTTAGCAATCAAACCTTATCCACCATAAATCTAAATTTTTCTATACCTGACGACATAGAAATGGAAAACACCATCAGTACATATCAGTACCAAGAGGGGAAGAGCATTGTTATCCCAGCCCACCCGGACAATCCAGCTAACTCTTCTAATATAACCAATACAACCATCCCATTTTCTAGTGTAAATCTTATGTCAAGATCTATATCTCCAATCTTGCTACCTACAATTGAACAACAAGACACCATCAACAAAAATCCCATAATTAAGAGCAAATTTGACAGAAGAGCATTACAAAATGAGAGAGAAGAGAAAGCAAGGGCCAGACTTTTCAGATACAAAGAGGATCTATTACTTTCATCCACTGATATTAAAGAGTATGACGTTTCAAACAATAACCTGGATAAAACTGACGATCACATTTCATCAGAATTCGCCAGTGAACAAGATGCCATTATTCGATGGGTTTCCAAATTCTCCTCAATCAGAAACAATCCTCAAGAAATGGATAAGCTGATAATTGAGATTGCCAGCACTTCTAAAGGTCCCATTAAACAAAAACCCTGGTTAGAAATCTTCATCAAAATAGAAGCCAGAGATAGAAGATTTTTCTTTTTTAACAAGATGGAAGATCCCAAAAGTGACCATCAAAGAGAATATGAAGCTCTAGAATTCTGGTTCCAGTCTAATTACAAAAAGAAAAACAATGTCTCTCAACTCAACAGAGAAGTCAAATACAAAATTAGGCTCCTCTTAAACGCCAGCATCTTTATTGCATACCTGCAATATATCAAAATCATCGATCTCAATCTCAATTTACTCTCTCTAATTTTAGAGTATGAATGCAATTACTTCTATTTCCCCAGAGATAGTGAGAAGCTAGACTACTTTTCAATAAATCAAAAGTGTAAAAGATTACTTGCAGAACTTCTACCAAACCTTTCTTCAACTCCTGAAAAAGTTCCTTCTCACATCAAAGCTAGAATTCCTTATAGAATACCCATTATTGATAGAAGCACCATAGCAGAAGTGGCCAAATCCCTTCACTTCCATTATAAATTTTCTCTCCTTCCGACTGAATACTTTTCTATTCATCCTCCACTGCTAGATAATCCCAAGAACCTTTCAAGAAACCTCTCTTATCACTTTCCAATCACAGAAAGAAGTGATCTTAAAAACTTGGGATCCAAGTTAAGAGAAGTCAGAAGATTCTTCATGTTTCTACCAAAATTCCTCAATCTTATTTTGACCTCCCTCCTCCCAAACTCCCCTTACCACTTGATCTGAACCAGTTAGATCCTGAGTTTGAACAATATTTTCCACTAGACACTACGCTACATAATCTATCTATAGTAGTGCACAAGCTTAGATCCAAGTATTACTTCAAACGTCTTCCATCTCACTTTTTCAAAAATAAGAGTCCTTTACCATACAACCCTCATTCAATTCAAGATATTCTTACTTCATTAAACTTACAAATCCCCATAACCACCAATTAAGATACATAAACATTAATCAATCATCTTAAAAACGAATTTCACTTTTCACTTCCTTTGGGTCCCCAATGGATTTCACCTACTATTTCACAAACAAACAAGCCGAAATTACCAACAAAGATTTCAAAATTAGATTTATCCTTCAATATTGACCAATATATCCCTAGGGATGAAAAATTGAAGCAAACAATTAGAGAACTCCATGACATGTATGAATTCCAGAAAGTCTCCAAGGAGTGATTCCAGGAACCCTTGTTACCTCTCCCAGATAATCCCGCCGTTATCAATCGCATTCTGGAAGAAAGAAATATTCTTCTAATAAGTGTTCCATTGTATAATAATGACTTCCTCTCCATTAACATCACAGAGCTACACAAGGTCTTTTCCTTCAGCAAACTTCCCGAATCCCTAATCATTAAAGAGACACTCCCAGAGCCAGAGTTTGCTTTCACACCTTTTCTTTGTTAATTCAACTTATGACTATAAACAATGAACTTTATATCAATGCAACCAACAATTATAATTCTTCTATACAAAATCACTCTAATGCAAACATAATAAACATTACATCAAATTTTCATCTCAAAGCCGACACCATTAACAACAAACTATACCATATATCAAACTTAGATCGAATCAAAAATCTTATCACCTTTACAACCATTAACACCAGAGGCCTTAACAATTTCACCAAACTTA